CAATGCTGGTAATAACAATCGAGATCCATCCGTTTGAAAAGAAGTTCACTCTACAGCAATATAATGACCCCAAGCACCAGACGTACTTATCAAACAAAGAAGCTGCTGGTGTTCTCAGAACAATGAACTGACCGCCACAGAGCCCAGACCTCAACATCACTGAATCTACTGCTGAGGCTTCTGTGTAGGTTTCTGTAAAATATTTTTTCTGCTTTTTTCCTGAAGTTGAAATTAAATCAATTAAATGAAGAGTGATCTCTGACATTTGCATAGTCCTGTAGCTATTCATAGTATTCGATCACGACCAGGTCACCATTTTGGGAAGCAAGCCGTGACGCTGACTGTGCTCTGATAGAGCTTGTCTTTCATCTTTACTGCATTTACAACCCAGCAAGTAGATAAAGACCAAACAAAACAGACCAGAATGACCACTAAAAAGGTTTGAAGACATGTAGACGCTTTCGATGCATCTCCAGAAAACTCCACAAGAAGAAGATTTGTTAGATCGGTGGACTGGATCTCTACAGCCTGCACATCTCCAGAGTTCAGAACATTTCAGAGTGTGATATTTAATAAAAACTAATGAAAGTGGCTACATAAGCTGCCAAAGCTCTTAAATAATAAATGTATACATCTATATCAAGCTCAAATAAGCTTCTTATTCGCCAGCTTCTCATTTGAATTTTCAGTCCCACCTAAAAAAGGCGCCTTAAACGTAAAACGAATTTCTAAAGTTGGTGAATATAATGCCAACATCGGCGTTCCTCAATAATGCATCAATTTACCTCAATAAATGATCCTTAATCAACAAATACTTCAAACTTCTGCTTGGAGATGTTTAACTGTTATTGAGCAGTCAATATGCAGGACAATGAAGCTATAATTGGAGCTGTCGATCGCATCTCACCGGCTGATCTAACGGCGCATCTCAAACCAGACACCTCTGTACTTCACCTACTACACTAATGAGTGCACTTCTAATGCTATATGCACTATTTTGTGCATACTATTTAGTGTGCTAGTATGCAAATTGGAACGTCAAAGTAATAATGCAGTGGGGAATCTCAGCCGTTTAGATTAGCTGGTCATCACTACAACTACAAATCAAATGAAATCAAGTCAGTACACTCAAATACACTGGCTAATAATGTTCTTTTAAAATTTAAAAAGGTTTAAAACGTGTTTTACTGCATTTGCTAGATCAGTTATGTCATTATTATCTCATTACACACAGCCACAGCACTGGTGAATGAACATGAATTTACCCTCTAAAATGGTGGCAGTGCGATTGGGATGTCATATTGATACTATCAATTGGTTGGAACACAGCAACAAAGGACAACATGTCTAAATTACTGTATATGATGTTCATCTGTGGAACCACTGGTATCGGAATGTTAGTTAATATCGAAATCGACGAGATATGGGCATCAGTAGAGAAAAAAAAAAGGAAAAAGCCGAATTGATGCCTCCTCACTGAAAAAGCCTGCAAGTGCAAACACAATCGATCACTTTTGAAATACTGCTCACACTTACCTAGAGCTGATGAGTCTCATTGAGGTTTGGGGACTGATTAATCGTGCCCATCAGTGCATTAACAGCTCCACCCCATCATAATGGAGCTCAGATGGAGCTCATTAATGGATTACTCCTCAGGGCCGGCTAGCCCACAAGCATAGCAGCACTGAGATCATCACAACATAGCAGAGAGAGTGTAATTTGAGCGCTCAATTAAGATTAAGAAGAACTTCTGGCCTCAATACATTACACTTAGTCATACGACTATGTTCATGAAAGTTCCTGATATGATACAGGGCTGTACGTAAAGTAAGTGTTAAGTAAACTGTGAGCTTGTGTTGCTCTGTTGTTCTTAACGTCACTGTGGCTGTCTGCTCCCTTCTCATTCCGGCTACAGCAGAACCTAGATGACAGGGATAAGATGCCAGATTGAGATTGGGCTGGTTTGAAGCTGTGCTGGCCTGACATTTGAAAAACACCCATTTGCTGATGAAGTTCCTGGGGAAAAAAAAAGGCATGGCCTCATCCACCATCTGCCACAACACGTAAAAGCTTTAAAAACATTCAGTCAGGAATTAAAGAGTATATTTGTCTAGGCAATCTCTGCTTGTTGCTATGCTACACACACCACGACACACAAAGCACACCAACACAGCCGGGTGCATAAACGACTCCATCAAACACACACACACATGCGCACGTCTGACAAACCATACAGACACACTGTTGGACAAGCGGCAAATCCTTTCCTAAAATCCTCATTAAAATGCAAAATTGTCACGTCTGTTTCTTCCACTCTCTTATGCATGTACGAGTTAGTATGTATGTGCGCGTGGGCACGGCTTTGAAACCGAATCCTCAGTTGGAAATGAAAAAAGAAGAAAAAAAACAGCAAGAGCAAAGACAGGATTTGAGAAGTCTGCAGAGATAAACACAGCATGTTCTTTCTTTCATGACCTCGTGTGCACATACCCACACTCAC